TATATATATATATATATTTTAATTCATACATGTACTGCATATAACTTGCTTTCATAAAATGAAGTTAAAATAAAGTTGTGTACAGTATAAGCTGAGAAACAACTGCTAAACACAAACACGACTGTGCTATGGCAAGCTGAGTTTTGTACACAAACTTGGAGCAAATACTCAAATAGTCATTCAGTGCAGCCCCACAAAGAACACCATGATGAAGCAAAACCATGAAGAAAAAACAAAAGGGAATGGATGGACGTTGAAGCAGCACTTCCAATTCATCCATATCCCCAGAGAGCATGCTGGTCAGCCTTGCATTTCTCCATGACTAATGTGCTATGACTACAGATTTGTCCTCCACTACTCCCTAAAACAATTTCTCTAATTTAACAACACAAGCGGAACAAACTGCAGTCAGCACTTAATGGACAGGAACCAGTCAAGGCCTAAAGGGGTAAAGACATGAATTTCCCGTTGATGACTTTCACATCCAAGATTTAGTGGATCTGCTCATTGTTAATGTTTCTCATGGGCTCATTCATGTGCAGAACGTAACACAAAACCTTTTATGGACATCAAGAAAGTTAAAGATCATATGTAGGTTATCAAACTCACAGTGTATTTCATTGCATTTTTGTCAATGTAATCTCCATGTGACATTTATTTGTGGATCTTTGGCCAAATAGCTGATATACACAAGAACACAACTGGTTTTAGGATGCATTGAGAAATCATCAAATACAATTTCTACTGGATGTTGGCCAAAGCTGCTTTGTTCATTAGACGTAGGATCCCTATTCACCATGAAAAGGTCTTTCTGCCAAAGCTTTGATGACTGTAATATCAGTTTAAGCCAAACAGGTATTGTTTTTCTTCAAAGTCTCAAAAAAGATGTGTAATGCATATTAACGTTAGAAGATAAGATGGCATTTATAGCCTTTTCCTCCTCCCTATGTTTGCTGCAAGCTTTCCATGTGGATATCAAATTCAGCTCACACACCAGATGCAGTGGGAGCAGAAAACACAGAGGATAAACTGCACCATTCAAAGACAACACAACAAAGAAAAGGCAGTGATATTTAAAAGAGCAAAGGAATACAGTCATAGAAGTTAATGTGACAAAGCCAAAAAAGCTCAATCTACTCTAGGCCTGTAGCAAATAAAAACATCTGTAACTTTACAGATGGCAATCTAAGCTATGCCCAGCTCTGTTCAGGTTACACAACGTGCCAAGACTCCACTAACAAAATCAGCAGTTTATGAACAGGCCACCACTTAATTAGCCAATTAAAATGAGGGATGAGATGACGATGACCCAAATCTTTCAACACACTCAAATATCTGCCAACTGGCCAGGAAACATATTTTGGGAGTGCTACACTGCATGCTGTGCCTCTGTGCAACTCAGCCCTGCTCTTGGTCAAACAGACACAAACCTGCACATCCATATCCTCGAATAGCCAGAACACACTTTGTTTTAGTGCTGCGCGCATGCGTAGAATGCCAGACTGACGCAGACCCTCAATTGTAGTATGAAAGGAACTGTGTGCGCATCTGTTGGACTGGTACAAGCCTGCAGCGGTCTGCGTATGCGCAAAGTAGGGCCCAGCCTTTACGGTTTCCTAAAGAGCTCACCGTCCTGAAGGCTCTTTCTCTAAATCCAATGCTCAGAATGGAGCATGCACACAATGCAGTTAGACAAGCCCAAAACTTTTCCATAGAAAAGATTGTTTGGCTGGTCATCAAGTGTCCACTCAGCATGCATGTACAGCAATTAGTTCTCCTTGTGCAGATTCATTTCAACATTTAATTGAAAAATCATCATTAAAGTTTGCCGTATTATAAAGAAGCTTTTTCTAGTTCCATAAATGGCCCAACAGGTGTCCAATCATGAGCAAGGAAGGATGAGGACAAAATACCCTTCAGGACTTAAAGACACAGTGAAATAAAGAAAAAGTTTTAATCCTATGTCCTGTGTTAATTGTTCAGTTATCTCTTGTGATCACATGTAAGCCATCTAGCGAACCTTTGATTGTATAAAACTGCACTTCTCTTTCTTTTTTAAATAGGCCAGTGTCAGTCTAAAAGGCTACTTTTCATCTGCCGTCTGTGGCCAAATGTTAAAAAATAACTTTTTTGAATTTCTCCTAAGGGGATCAATAAACATCACGTTATCTTAAAAAAATAATAATAAAACGAAACGCAAATATTATTAATATGGACAAAATAGACATTACACATCCACCAATAACTAATCCCACAGTACAACACATGGTAGTTAACTACAATCTATCGTATATCATGGGTTTCGGTTGAGGTCTAATGTATTAATTTCTCCCCTGTTCTCCTCCTGAACTGCAACGTAGCTGTCGCTCTCAATGATCAATCATTCAATCAATCATTCAATTCAATCATTCATCTCGTAAATAAACCCAACCTAGAGATTCAGAGTACGTCACATTTCTGAAGATTAAAGCTAACTGCCGTTTCACTGTGAGTTTAAGTCCGCAGACATTGACATTCAAAGCAGCAGTGTTGTGCCCCCTGGCAGACATGCAAAATAATAAGGAAAAAATAAGAACAGCAGATGTGATAAAGGGAATAGAAGAAAGGATAAATGCACAGGCGGACAACCAGACCACTAAAAACGTAAAGCGTTGAACAACAGTAGATGCAAAGCTCAAATGGCAGTAACAGCATCCCACTTGCCCCAACACTGGCATAAGGGGGCTAGAGGGAGGAAGAGGAGGCGTGAGAGGGGTCTACAGAGGCTGACCGTGGAGGGATTCTGGCAGCTCCTGACCAGACATCAGCCAGCTCTTGAGGCGACGGAGGTGGTAGGGACAGTGGCGAAGGTGTTGGGCCATGGCCCCGTCCACAGCCAGAGGGGCAAACCCCAGCAGGGCCGGCTCAGCGGGAAGCCCCTCCAGCAGCTTGACTACTTGGAGCTCGTCTGAGGGCTCTGAGGGACGAGAGGCAGAGCAGGAAGAAAGGAAGAGAAAGTACAGTAGAGCAGAAGGAGCAGGAGGAGTGATAGGAGGTATGCAACAGGTAGGCACAGAGCTAAAAGAGCAGTGTGGCCTTAGGATAGCGGATTGTATTTGTGGAGCTGGATGTCTGAACAGAGAAATTCATCACAGAAAGCACATTCAGTCTCAATCTTGGACTTCATTTGATCAATTCCGGTCCTGACCTTTCAGTTATGACTGAAGTAAACCGACTATGGCTGAGCACAACAGTAGTGCCTCAACCATTCACAAACAACTGACACAATCCCACTGTTTCTATTTCAAAGCAAACAGAAGCAAGTTTCAACAGAAGATAACCGGAGTTCAAATACAGACAGCAGTAGTCAATAGCAGTCAATCTATGAAATCACAGGTTTAAAAACGAAACAGTGAGAACACATCAGAGACACAGAACAAAACATGTGAACCAGAGGGTCTTAGAGGCAACTATAATGCTGTTTAAGCACACCACTTTCAAAACTGTAGTCCAGGAAAACCAGAGAAAATCCTACTCCTTGCAGTGGTTGTTGTTTTTATTCATTTTTATCTACAAAGAGAGCGGAGAGTGACTCACCGAGTCTGCCATGTTGAACCATCGTGTTTCTACAGTAGCCCAGAAGTTTCGCAGCTACTATAGCTTCCTCTACAGGCTTGGGAGGCCAAGCTGTATAAAAATTCTTACAATCTGCAATTTCCCCACTAGATGCCACTGAATCCTACACACTGGCCCTTTAAACAATCACAGTACAGTATGTTAAGCACATATATTCTTTTTAAGGGAATATCATCATATATCATCAGAAACTGCACAGATTTAGAAATTTTATTTGAGAGTATTTTATAAGCCAAACTAAAGAAACAAAGCTGAGGAATACCAGCCTGCATACTTAGGTGAAATGTGTTGGGAAATAAAAACTAATTTGATTTATATATTGTATTAATCCTTCTTACTAGTTAAAGTGCAGACATCACAAAAATAACACCTCCAATAATGAATTAAGATAGCTTATATTTTGTTAAGATATTAATCTTAAATACCGGACACTAAGCCACACCACCGTGTACTAACCTTCCAAGCTGGAGCCAAACAGTCATCCCTGTGGTTCATCCAAACACTTGTCAACGTTATATCACATTTCAGAATTATACCAACTCCACTTGTCATTCTGCATCAACACGTCAGATGATCCTGGTGCTTGGATTCCTCCTGCTAAAGTACAGGCAGCACTAATCAAACTGCAGACACATGCTGGGCTGTTTCTGAGCCATTTATTTAAATCCTAAAAACCATTCAGTCATATCCAAATAACCTTTCAGGATGTGTGTTAAGCTCTCAAATTTCAGGATACTAAAGATTTAACAATATTAAGAAATCTTTTCAGAAAACACGCACGGAGAAGTAACTCACAAAGGCCCAACAACTGCTTGAGCTGGCAGTCTAGTCACCAGTGACAGACACAGGTGACTGAATTAAAGACACTGAACAAACAAAACAAACAAAATAACTTTTCACAAACAGACTCGTGTTAGAGACGAAGTATGACTGAAGTATGACTGAAGTAGCTGCTGCATCTTTCCTTTTTTTTTATTATAAAGTCTTTTTTTGGGCTTTTTTGGGGCTTTTTTTATTGCCTTTAATTGAGGTAGCAGGAAAGGGGGCAGAAAAGAGGAGGGGGATGACACGCAGCAAAGGTCCGCACCGGTCGGATTCGAACCCAGGGCCGCTGCAGCAAGTACTCAGCCTCAGTACATGGGTTGCCAGTCTACCAACTGAGCTACCCGGGCGCCCACTGCTGCTGCATCTTTCTTACTTCCAGTAAGCGGTGTCTACAGCTCAGCTTTACAAGTGAACTATCTGACAATGCTGAATGACCATTATGCTGTCCGACTGTCCTAGAGTCAAAGGCGACTTCAAATGTTTTGGTTTGTTGGACCAACAGTCCAAAACCCAAAGATATCCATTAACAGTGATATAAAACAGAGAAAAGCAGCAAATTCTCACATTGGATAATATGAAACCAGAGGGTTTTTGGCATTTTTGCTTGAAAAATTTGTGAAATGTTTAATAAAATATTAATTAATTTCTTGTCAATCAACTAAGAATTGCTTGTAAAGTAGCACTAATATGATGAATAAAATAAAATTGCAAGGGATACTAAATGTGTGAGAACCAAAAAAATAAAAAATCCAAGGCTGGAAAATTGAAATTGATGAGTAACTCTAGTTACACCACTCCCTTGTTTTGTCTCTTTGTTGGGTGTGTAGGTATAAAGCTGCAATCCAACAAATGAATGAAAAAAGAACCTTTCTTCCAGCTGAGTTTTGTGAGGAACTCATGTTGGAAAGCGCACATGCAGTTCAAAGAAGAACACCTCCTAAAAATCTTGTCCTTGGTTACCTCTCCTGGCTTAACATCTCACCTCGTTGCAGAGATGTACAAGTTGTGGTTGTGTCAGTGCACCAATGCTGGACGTTGTCAGAGGTTAAAAAGAACGGAAACTTTCAACCACTCTTTAAAAAAAGGTTACTTGTCAATGTGTATAGCCCAAACTAAGAGATTGACAGAATAAATGATTTAAACAAAAGTGCAGGTGAGGATATGTTACGATGTGAACACATTTCTACACATCGAAATATATCAATATAATAATTGATAGAATATATAGATATATTCCATATAAGCCACATACATCCATCCTGTGAAGAAACAGCAGGATCACAGAGGCAAATTAAACTGGTGCAGGCAGAGCAGGTGGTGTTAGAGGTGAGGGCCCAAAAACAACACAAGGTATAAGAAACACCGAGGGTGCGTGGTGAAACAGAAACTCTGTACATTTTTATTTTTTTTAATCTTGGAGACGTTGAATGTAATTAACGCAGCCAAACGTCAAACCCCAAAAAATAGAAAACACAGGAAATGTTTTCCCACAAAAAGGTCATGCAAGAAAACTGGAGGAGTGTCGAAATAAACTTGAATAAAAGCAGACATACCATTAGTCGGATGCCTGGCAAACGACACAGAAAATCTCTTTACTGCCGGCATAGAGAACAGCTCTGAGGAGATAAGAAAGGTAACTGGTATTACTGGGACAGCTGGTACCTGCATCTGCCTGTTTGCCTGTTTGCTTGTATGTGTTTTTACATGATGAGGGGGGGGGAGAAAAAAAAAAAGATAAAAACAGAATGAGAGAGAGAGTTGGTCTATGGATTCATCAATATCTGTCTGCCAACCAACATGCGTGAAAATGAGTCATCTCTGAATAAACAAGGAGGAGATAGGCCAACAGAGAAAGTGAATGGAAAGATTGTGGAGCTTATGGAGTAAATGATTGACATTTTGGCTGAAGAGTAAACATGCAGGAGGAGTGACCCTGGACTCTAAAGGGCATTACTCAGGAAACCTCCTTCTTGTCCTTCTTACTTCCCTTGGCAATTGACTTTCTTTTTAGCTTAAAAGCAACAGTTCAACATTTTGGGAAATACACTTATTTGCCTTCTGCTGAGAGTTAGATGAGAAGATTGATATCACTCTCATGTCTGTATGGTAAACATGAAGCTACAGACAGCAGCAGGTTCGCTTAGCAGAGCATAAGACTGGACAAAGGGAAACGGCTAGCATGGCTCTGTCCAAATGTAACAAGATCTGCCTACTTGTACCTCTAAAGCTCACCAGTAAACAAAATATTTCTCATTTGTTAAATCCATACAAAAACGTAATCATGTTTCTGGCAACCTGAAAAATGTAAGTCCAATATTAACTCCTTTCGCTCGGTTTTTGGTCTTCTCACGAAATCTTGAGGGAAATATCTTGCTAAAAGCAGCTAAATTATTCATTATGTTCATCAGCTAGTCTCCAACTGTGTCTGTCTGCTTTTTGGTGCTGAGCAGGTCATTTAGAAGCATCTAGAGCAATTTCACTGAAAACAGCTACCTCCTCTTATGGGCCTGACAGCTAAGCAATGAGCAGAAAGACACTATAATGTTCCATAGAGCTGAGGGGACCCTGTCTCTCAAAATTCACATACTTTCATGTGATCCACTGTTAATAAAAGAATATTGATTATAGATGCTTTTAAGTAATGAATAAATGTTGGAAACAACCAACTTTAAGTGGTAACAGTAGCAATGTAAATATGACCAAACCTAATGGGGGAAAAGATATTAAGAGGTTTGGTCTCTTGTACCAGATGCAGGATCACTAAATCATTCTAAGAATATCCACTTTTATATAATTAATAGTGTTAAATTACATTAAGTTTAATTCATTCAGAAGAACACATATGTAACAAGGCAGGTGGTATTGATGAAGGTTATTTGAACTCATCTAACAGGGCTATGGGGTTTTAAAAGAAGCCAGTTCTTTGTTTCAGTAAAAAAAAACAATATGCTGTCCTGATGCAGCCCTCTCTTCCCGCAAATGAACAGCACTGACGTCAGTCCAAAACCCTCACCTGTCTCTCAGTTAAACATGATTTAACAGAATTGTGAAAGGAAAGCATCTGTTTGCTCCTGGCAGCGTGTAGCCTTGCAGCCAGAGTGACACCCAGTGGATAAACTGAACAGCTCAGTTAAAACCAACAGTGGGAGATGTATTCCCTGAAGTTTGTGCAGATTCATATACATGCATATAATTTGCCAGTAAAATCATCTGCTGCTGACTGAGAATGTGTCACATTCATCTTTGGACAGGACTAAACAAACTTGTGTAATTAAAACAGCTGTGACCATGAGAATGATATCCAATCCAGATGTTTGGGATTATTTAATTTGCTATAAGGACCCCTGGTGGCTGTAAAAACAGCTTGCTTGTACTTACCATTACCAAAATGAGACTAAGGAAAAAAGGTAGGGGAGGGAGAATGCGACTGGGGATTATTTAAAGGTGGATTATTGGGTTTTGAAAGTATTTCTGTTCCAAATAACAGGCTGAGTTTCTTAATGTAAGGATTACCGTAAATTGTGATTAATGAAAGTTCTGGCTTCCAGACACAAAAACTACTTTACTTATTATGAAATGAAATTCCCCTCAGAGAGGATATGGTACAAACTCCAAAACAACATGCACAGAGAGAGAACACTTCTACACATTCGAACTCAAGCAGACAGTGGTGTGATCAGTGAGTGGACATGCTGATCTGGAGGAACACTGATCACTGCGATATATCACACAGTCCAATGCAAGGTTGCATGCTCAGCATTTGCTGCACAGCCAATCACTCTGCTGTAAGATCAGTTCCCTCATCATGCACAGTGCAAAAAAATGAATCACTCAAGAAATGTGATGCAATTTTCTGGTTTGTTTTGAGAGCAGAAGAAGGAAGGGAGCTCTGATTTCGAAAAAAGTAGTCATTTTAAATGTCCCAAAAATCTAAGTGTCTAAAGCTTAAGAAGCAAAAAGTAGAAGAAAAAAAAAGAAGATATTCTAAAGCCGGGAAGAGAGACTTTCTCAAAAAGAACAAGAGATGAAAAGACCCGCCTTGTGGAGGAGGACAGACAGTGGTGTGAACGTACCAAACATGCCAATCTGGCAAGGCAGACTGCCCGGTGACAGAGGTGGTTTTCGGTGGTGGTGGTGATGCGTGCGTACGTAGTCCCGCAGGTTGGGTGCGCTACAAGACACCCCAAGGGCTGAGGCACTAAAGAGGCCAGAGCAGAGCGAGCCTGTGTGAGGAGGAGCCAGGGGGGAGGGGGGGAAGTGTGCGGGGTGAGTATTAGTTTTTATTAAACACCATGCCATTATTCATGACAAACTTATGCCGTGAGTGTCTGTACATTTCAAATAATTCAAACCTGTGTGAAAACCCTGTAATGACAGTTTAGGTTTTTTTTCATCCTTTAACTTCAGCTGTGAAAAAAAGAATCAGTTTTAAAAAATGCTTTATGATAAATTAAATTTGGTGCATGGACAATCTTTGTTTTCACAAGGCTATTTGTTCCTGGAAATGACGACATGTAACCTACAGGGTTTTCACAACAATGAGTGCATCTGTAAGACCTGTGCATGTGTGCATATGTGTAAACAAAAGTGAGTGCATACAGAACTTGTGTGTGTTTTGTATGCAAAAACAGCAGAGGCATGACAAACAGGCCAAGTGTGGAAATGGGATTGTTTCAGACCCCCTGCTGAGCACAAACCCTCTGTTATTGGGGAGAATGCCAAACAGCCAATTCTGATGTTTATCCTATTTTTTATTCTAATACTCTAAATCAATATTGAGTTTATAAACCACACAGAAGAGGAAATATTTTCTTTGAAACTGCAGAGACAACAATAAAAATATTTAAAGAAGGCGTCAGTGTCTGCGCCTCGTTTCTTTGTTCTATAAACAGTGTGAAGGTATGAAAAGCTAAACAGAGGTCATCCCTGACACATGCTGCTCTTGCCTGTAATCGGTGCAGTCAGTGTTGTTGGTGCTGGTAATGAACAGGGAGGGATCTCTAAACAGCCTCACACTTACTATACATTACAGACTGACAGGCTCCGCTCAGAGAATACCCAGAGGGGCTTCAGATGGAGCTCATTTAGACACAGAACCAACTACTGCTTGCAGACTTGTAATAATGACCTAAACACTGAGTGACTGGTTTGTTAACATATTTAGGGAAAAGTAGCACCACACCCACACTGCATTTCTACCTGGTCTTGGTTGCATTTATTTCTAATTACCTATAATTGTGAGATTTTTTTCATATATTAACAAACAAGGAAAATAAACTGCACTCAATACAAGAGCAGAAATAGTTTTCAGTCAGTCAATTTGTCATGTGTGAATCACTGGGCGTTTCCAACCAGTGATTCACACGTGACAGAAATGGTCTCCACAAAGTGACTCTACTACCTGTTGTCACACTCATGGCTATCTCCACACATCTTGATTCAGACAAAAAGCTTTCATGCTTGTGTGAGTGTCACTGTGTTAGCAGGTTGTTGGAGGTTACTGTGGATGGAAACTGTACACACAGTAAAACCAGAGTCCTCCACAAGGTTAAAACTACTTAAAACAATGTCTGATTCAGCTGATTTGGAACATTTTAGGCATTTTAACACTATGTGTACCATGATAGGGGTCAACAAGAACTACCCAAACATCTAACTTAAAATGGTTAATAGACCTTTTTCACAGCAGCCATTCTGACATGAAATAATGGGGGAAACACAAGTGTTACAAATTACACTAATTAATTCTATTTAGTGTAGCAGAGCCTTTCCAGTTGGCCAACATGCACAATAGCAGCAACCTGATTCTGTTTGACCTGAATGCAACAGTATCATTGGTAACACCTGTGTTTACCCTACTATTTCATGTTAAAATGGCTGCTGTGAAATAGGTCTATAGTAAGTACCAAGTAGAAAACAGTTTGATGGTCTACACTGTGACTTCAGTTACTTTCAGAGTGAAATTTGGTTGCATACCTAGACACACACATAACTTTAAGTTTTATTTCTTGTCACATGTACTCTGCTTTATTTTCTGTGTTGGGTTACACAGTGCTTGTACAGTACTGACTGGGCTTAGTTAAAAAGAGAGAAAGGCCTTTAGCAGTCTTGCTATTCATACCACATTGCAGTGGCTAAACCACCTCCCAACACTTGTTGATTTGATATATTTACCTCGTATCCAGGATACGTCTCTGCAAATACTGGCAGGAGCCGAGAAGGGCGGAGGGTGAGCGACTCAGGAGAGGGTTCAGTGCGTTTTTAGTCAACATCTTTTACCGGCTAAGTTATGGCTGGTGAATGATGCAGGGAAAAGAGTGGGAGAACGCCAGAGGATGATTCCAACAACCCTAGATGACAGATGGAGATGCACCATTATCAAAATAATGAAGGACCTTTTTAAACAAAAGAGAAACACAATTTGAACAGACTTAGATGATAATGGGTTTTTAATGGAAAAGTTTTTTAATGTGTTGATGCTTAAATCATGAGAGAAAAAAACATTTTCCTTAAAAAAAGAGGCTTTTTTGTCTAGTTTTTAAGAAGTCCAGAATGGCCTACTCTTCCCTCAGAGTTAACCACATTGTATTCATTTACCTTTAAACCACTGTTAATAGACTGAGAAAGTTTTGGCCTTTGACATTTCCTTTATACAGAAACAACTTCCTTGCAGTATCTCATCATCATTCCTGTGTCTTTCCTCCTCCAGGGAGCAGCCGATCTTCAGCGCCCGAGCCCATGTTTTCCAGATCGACCCCACCACCAAGAGGAACTGGATCCCTGCCAGCAAACATGCCGTCACAGTGTCCTTCTTTTATGATGCCAACCGCAACGTCTACCGCATCATCAGCGTGGGCGGGACCAAGGTGAGGGGGAGGGAAATGGTAAAGAAGGCAATAATGTTGACGGTAGACTAAAGTAAAATACTCATATTGATTTAGTTTTTCTGGTATATAATACAAAAAGGTTTGTAGTTTTTTACAATACTCTTGTTTAGCTATTTATTTTGATTTTTTATTCATTTTCTGTTCTGTGTTTAATTCTAGAATTGGATGAGGAGTCATATTGGTGCAAAATTAGTCTATTTTAATTCCAGCTCAAAATATCCATATCGGTGGGGGTCTAATTAAAGCATCTATCTCTGAGTTCTGTTTGATTGCAGTGAAGATGGTTCACAAAGCCGCAGACCAAACAAAACAGTTCAAACAGCGGCAACACTGATTTTCCTCTTTCCAGAAAATCAGTAAAGTTAAGAAATATGTAGTGAACAAACAGAAACACAGTGGGTGTCAACAACTCAGCAGCTAAAGCGTCTTTCTCACAGGCTTGTGGATTTAGATTAGGAAGAAGAGGCCACATCCATGACTGTAGAGGAGGATGGGATGGGGGATCTATCTGATCTCTTCTTAGCACCTCTGGTCTGACCCACATTTCTGCCTCCCAGAAGGCTGTGCGGGGTGGCAGTTGGTCGGTCAGCAGCCCAATCCTGCCAGGACTGGTGTCTGGCTCCAGAATAATCTTCACTGCTGCTGCCACCGTCCAACACATTATGTCAAAACATGTCAGCGCAGAAATGCAGACTGTAGAGTTCATGTAATCATTTGTTGGAGGGGAGACAAGGACGAAAAAGCTTCCTTCTAAGCTGCCACTGCCCCGCAATTCTGGGATTTTAAATCAGTTCCATTATTGTAGGTCTGGGGATGACGTAAAAAGGTTTATAAATAGGTCCGCTCTAATATTTTCTTCCTCGTACGCTCAGGGGGAAAGAGGTGGCTTCGGCCACGTCTCTGAGAGTGAGGTCATGAACCGGGTGTATGTGCTGTGTTTGTGGCAGATCTTTGGTTTCTGCTCATGTTGGTTTCTGCTTTTGTTTCAGAACAAACAAAAGAACAAATATGTCTCAAGGGAAAAAAGTGTTTGGAAACGGCTGATTGCCAGGAATCCCAGTGGAACGTTAATGCATCTTTAATGTCACAATAAGCACAGACGTTTTCCTGTGTTCTTCACTCTTCCAGCAAACGTGTGAAGTGTCAAATTATTAAGTTTTATGTAGGTGCTGTGTTCAAATAATGGCATGACATTAGTAAAAGAACTTCAGTAGTTTTTGCATACAATTATAAGTTTAAAACAATTTAAGGTAATTCAGTCTATTAAACTATTTTGTATAGTATTTTATATTTCTATTTTGATTTGATTTTGCCCGTTGTATTTTCAAATTGGAAAAAAGTGTCAAAGGGGAGGGGACAGGGGCACTAATTTTACACTGAGAGCAAGTTACTTGTCATGAGGAGTATCTCAAATATATAACTGATAATGTTCGTTACAAGCGGAGGTAATAAGATGCTGCTGGTTGCATTTTTCGGAAATCCAGAATCGTAAAACATCAGACTTAATACTTAAACTCATCATAGTTCATCTATTTTTTAGCTTTTGCAGTTTTATTTTTTATTGTTTATTGTGTTAAGAATAAGAAAATAATCAACTGCAACACATGTACAGATATATATAGTGCTATAGTGCTACAGGGTCTGATATGACTAAGCAGAGAATGAGAGGCAGGGCCTAGAAATAAAGTAATGAAATGTTAATTAAAATAAGGAAGGTAATACAAAATACCTATTAATCATTTCAGATAATTAGTTTTGTCTGGATTCTTGCTGCTGAACTGAACCCACCTGAATCATCTTTGTTATCTCTGCATTTGCAGGCAATCATCAACTGCACTGTTACACCCAGCATGACATTTACCAAGACGTCCCAGAAGTTTGGACAGTGGGCGGACAGCAGGGCCAACACTGTGTATGGTCTGGGTTTTGCTACAGAGCAACAGCTGCATCAGGTAAACTAACCCAAAGTCAACAGAGGTTAAAGCTCTGAGAAATACATTTCCAGAGTCTGGTTCGTGCTGCATTATTAATGTTTCATTACCTGAAACAGTTTATCACTTGTCCTCTTTTGAAAAGTTCTCAGATAAGTTTAAGGAGGTGAAAGATGCAGCTCGTCTGGCACGGGAAAAGTCGCAGGATAAAGAACTGGCCAACACGGCGCTCAACATCGCTGCTCCTCAGGTGAGCCCCCCCCTTTTAGAAAAAGATGTGAACATGAAAGTAGAGCAAATCTCTGCAGGTATCAGACAGGAAGTGTAAATGTGAAACCTTTGTCAGGAGCCACAGAAATACCCAGTGATGCATTTTTTGCATTTTAGGATTGGGGAGACACTGTGAGCACAGGCCAAGGTTAGATGAATGCACCTCTGTTAGTTTGCATTAGATAGGGCCGCTGTGATTAAATCAAAGGAGAGAGAGAGAGAGAGAGAGAGAGAGAGAGAGAAGCAAAAGAAAGATGAGCTGGGTCACTTGTCTCGGAGGGAAGAGAAAGTGAGGGAAACTAGGACGATGGTAAAATTATCCCGTGCCGCTCAGCAGTGCACCACATCCGCAGTTTCTACCGACTGCTGCCGAGGAGCCTCCGCCTCCAAGTCTGTAATGATGAAAATGTAGTCAGCTCAGGGCCTTTTTTGATCAATAGAGAATAATTACCCATCGGTTACATCTGCTTGGTCATGAGGAACATGCCCATTTCCTTCTAATTCTACGGCTGAACAGATTCCAAGTGACGTCTCTCACGCCACGTCTTTATTGATTTAATGAACACACTGGAGAGGCCAAAGCTCCAGAAAATTGCCAACTGCGTCAATTAATTGTGCTTGATTCTCGCTAAGTAAAGCTGTGCTGCATAACTGATCACACTAAGTATGCTTGTGGTTGTGATATTTTTCTAAAAGGTCATTATGTATTGGGAGCTTTGTGATGACATGTTTCTTTGTCTGTTTTCCCCACCTGATGGATTTCCTCTGTAGTTCTCACAGGTGAGTCTTTGTTATTGTCCTTTTATCGTCTCACTCCTGAGAAAAATTTATTATTTGACAGAAACTGTCTCTGGGAGTAATTTAACACACAAATAAATATGTGTTAAAATAAACCTTTCTCTTCCTTTCTGTCTGCCCCTGAATTTAGAATTTATGCATACCTGCTGTGAGTGCAGATAGCTCTTTATTTTATCAGGCCAAAACAGACACCACAGCTATCTCAGTAATACAGCTCACCAGTGGTGGAGGAATTATCCTTGCTTCACCTGAATAAAAGTACTGATACCACACTGTAAAAATGCTCTGTTACAAGTAAAAGTCCTGCATTTAAAATGTACTTTAAAGTATTAAAAGTAAATGTCCACTGTGACTATTATACTATTTTGTTTTATATCATTCGATTATTAGTCATGCATTAATGTAAAATCAGCATTTTACTGTTATAGTTGGTTGAGGTGGAGCTCATTTTTAACTATATTGTATAGGACTGATTATTTTTATTCATTCATTGAGTGTTTGGTTTGTAGAAAGTCACGAAATAGTGAGAAAAGTCCAACTAATAAAAAAACCTCAATAGAAAACGCCTCAAAATTATTAAAAATTGCATTTGAATAATTCAGATGTTTTAAAGGAAAAGCAAAAATCCCTCACATTTTCAAGATGGAACCATGAAATGTTTTTGCATTAAAATTTCCATTATTTTGTAGTTAATTTTCCCTCAATCGATTCATCGGTTAATTATTTCAGCTGTACTTGTATTTACTGTTGGATAGTTTAACTAAATATTTATATTTTGAAAAATCTGTTTTCTATACAAAAATCTTAATTTGCAAAGTAATTAGTTAGTTACTTAATCTGTCACAATGTAATGGAGTAAAAAGGCAATATATTTCCCCTCTGAGATATAGAGGAGTAGAAGTAGAAAAAGAAAAGACCTCCAGCAGAGTACAAGAACCTTGTACAGTCTTTAGTTGGACTTTGATGTGAAGGGTCTCTGTAAGACCTGAAAGTAGTGAATAATACCATTTGGTGTTGTAATGCTGTGTGTGTGTTTGTGTGTGTGTTATTAGTGGAGTCCCATTTACTCGTGTGTTCTCCCAGGACCCCTCTCGGATGAATC